CAAACACAAAACCGTAGATTATTTCTTACCATCTTATTTCTTCCAAATATCAAATTAGAGGAGTGTCTCTCATTACTATTGGATCAACTGCTTTATCTTATTCAGAGAGCAAGCTTAGTAAGTATAGACATCAAAATAGTTCTACAGCTAGGTTGACTGACCAACAGAAAATTATGTCTGACTAGTGGTACTTTTCAAGCCAAAATGTATTATCTCTGTAAAAACTTACATGGTAGAGTGTATTTTCAAGGGGAAAAAAACCGAAAACACTATTCGGTGGGCAACTTCTGAGATACAGTTGACTCTTGCTTTACGCCTTCTCATTGGTCAAGGCTAGACGAGATGGGCTCAGACTTTAAGGACAGTTCTAGGTATGCTGATAGCCAAGGTGTCTGGCCTGTAAACAGGCTGCACATGAACTCAATGGCATCATGATTTTATTGTTCACTGTTCTGCACCAGTGACCTTACTGTCACCTTGAAACAGAAAGGAGAGAATGGGGATGATGGTTCGGAGGCTGCCCGTGGGACAGTAGCAGTGCTCCACGCAGCACGCTCCCTCACGCCACAGCACCCCAGGAGCCACGAAAGGTCTGTGTGTGTCCTACAGATCCTACTCAACAAAGAGACTCAAATGATACTTGTTTTTCAATTGTTTATCAGTTTATGGTCCATCTCCTCCTCCTAGAATGTAACTCAATAACAGCAAAAATTTATCTGTATCTTCAGTGTCTAGAGAAGCACCATCTCAAGGTGTGTGGAATCTAAATGTGTATTGAATGAATGAATGAGTTAATAGGTGAACACTGACATAATCTAGGCTTTTCTTTATTCATGAAAATGACCTTTTTAGTATGGAGTCTTTCTTCCAACTAAATGAATTTGGTTGCCTGCTCTGGGCTAGGCTTCATTTTTCTCCCTTCTGTGCTTTCACGTCTTCCTCCCCTTCATTCACAAGGCCCCGTTCATGGTCCACAGGCCCTCCAGCCTGGCCTCAGCTGTCCCTCCCTCCCGTGGAAGCCCTTTTGCTGAAATCCTCCGTTTCCTCTCTGGCTCTCTCTAGCTGTGAATAACTCCTCTTACATAATATTTTTCCAACATCTGGATTTTCACTCAGTTTTTATTAGCTTCGCGAGTTCCTCACATTTTTGTGTTTTGTAGTTTCCCTTGGACTATTAGCTTTCTGAGGGGAAAAGAATTCTTACTTTCTTTTTCCGTTATATCTTTTCTCTCTACTTCCACTCTTAGTCAACTGTAGCAAATGACTGTTCTCGGTGGCCACTGGAAAAAAAAGTGGTTGACTCGTGACTAGCAGACGAGCCCCGGGTCCCTTCAGACAGCACCATCAGACGAGGAAGCTAGGGCCTTGGCGTTGCCTGTTGCACTTCTCACAGACGTCACTATGGTGATGGGGGATTGCTCAGCTCTGGGTCAGTAATGGGATACAGAGCCTTTCACTTATTTAAATCACTGGCTTAACTCTAACCCTGTTCAAAATTTGGGCTTCCAGTACGTGAGATACCACAGACTCCTTAGAGAACTGCGGAACGTTGTTTTGGGGTTTTTTAAAAAATATCCTTCCAGCCACCATCCAGAAGGAAGTTATCTAAGACGCTTGACGGTTTTATATTCCTAACGACAGCAGAGTATAAATGGTGAGGAAGCTCTTACTTCTACTTGGAACAATCCCCATGGAACACAAGCTTTCTCCAACCTTTCCCTGAAAGCTTGGGATGAAGTGAAGACCTGTGTGCAGGTGCACTAAGGTGTCAGCCAGTCATTCAAGGGAGCATCATTGGAACGGAACTAGAGACATCGAGATGCAGTGAGAAAGGCAGGAGGAGGTGTATCTGCCAGCCTTTATTTAAAATTATTTAAATGAAGCACCAGCCAGGAGTCTGAGGAAAAGCCAGATGATATTCTGACATCCTTTAAAACCTATTCACAAGAGCCCCACTTCTCAGTCTGGAAAATTAATTGACCTTTTCTGGATTAACAGTTTGTCAATCTTGTTCTGGAAAAACCCACTAGTGAGATTTATTCATTCTTCGTAAGTAGCTGATTTACAAAATAATTGGAACAATCGTACTGGAAAGTTAGCCTTTTCATTTCAAGCACTGGTTAAACTTGCTTAGAGTCAGGAAGACATTTGATGAAAGCAATGGGTTCTTTCTCCAGAGGGATGAGTTTCCACTCAAAATTTTGCATAGAATTTTAGGGAACTCATGGATTCCCTGAACCCGTTTCATGTACTCCAGGGAAAGAACCTCTAAATTAAGGATTTCCAAATGCTAAATGTACTATTCAGACACCAAGAATGATTAGTTTACTTTCAAATGGACTGAGTCAAATCCTAGATTTAGACAGTGGAAAGAGGGAAAGTTTGGTGATGGTGTAAGTCTTAGAATATCTTTGGTAATAATAAAAGTGGTGGTTATAATAATAGCCAAAAGTTACTGAGGGCACATTTGGTTTGAAGCACCGTACAAAGCACTTTGCACGCACTGCCTTGCTTCGAATCCTGATTCTACTTTGCAGGTATTAGAGACTCACTGTGCATAAGTGAAAACTTGGGCTTCAAGGGTAAGAGAGCCACCCAATGTCACAGAGCTGGTAAGCAGAGTCTGCACAGAGCAGGGTACCTTCCTTTTTAGGTCTTTCCAAAGCTGCAGGAAAACAGCCCATAGTCTGTTGTCCTTAAAAGAAAACACTCTGATCTCGCTCTTAACAGCCAGCTCTTGATGACAATAACTTCCAAAAATAAAAAATAGCTTCCAGGGACACATCGATCTTTATTGCTGGCTCTGTACAATAAGGCTTTGTGTTGCTTAGGGTGGTCTGGGGTGTCCTAAACTTGCCTTCATTCTGTTCTTTTGGTCTTAGAGTCTAAACATTGCTGTCTTAAAACCTGGATCAATACACCAGTTGGTGCCCAGCTGAAGTGTCGGGGGGTGGGATGACGTTATGAGGTATGATGCTGGGGTGAACGTGGGTATATGACACCTCTCAGCACCAGATCCTCTAAACCACCTCCAATCCACAGTCCATGCTATCACTCTACTGTTGATAAGTTTGTGAGGCTCCTCAGATCTTTCCTTGAAACACGGGAGCTCCCACAGCACTGGACCAAGGTCCTCCTTCTCCCTGAGTCAGGGTGAATATAACTTTGTTCCCTGCAAATTGGTTGGTTGGCTGGCTTCCAATTATATCCGAGTCTGTTTACTCCACTCACCCACATGCTCAGTCTTGGCCATAAAAAAATTGAAACCATTTCCATGGGTCCTAAACAGGGCTGGCCTTAAAAGTTCCCAGAGTGGACAGGTGCTTCCATGATGCAAGGAAGGACTTTGTGTTCATAAATATCACACTGCCCCCAGCACCTGTCACATCAGTGTAATTCTGTTACATCAGTGAGAGAGTCTGTCCTTTGCAGCTTATTGTCCCATCTTCCAGTGTCCCTTTCAAAATGCCAATAGCACCATACTGACCCCCAGGGTAGAACCAGGATAGTTGCTGCGGGTGGCATGGGGCAGGGAAGACGGCAGAGGATCTAAGACTGAATCTGGAGGGGGGTTATAGGACAGGGTAAGAAAAGGGCACTATAATTTGGTTTTCTCCCCTGTTTATATAGGGCCAGCCCAAATCCAACCCTCTGAGGTTCTGAAGGAGGTGCAGTTTCTGCTGGGTGGAAGAGGGGACATTAATATCATGACGAAATTTTCTTTTACCTTAAAACTTCTGTGGTTCCTGAGTGACGAGCTCTTCTCCTGCAGGTCCCAGAGAGAACCATCAGGATTCGTCCTATCAGAGGGATGGCTTTAGTGAAAAAGGCATTCTCACATTTTGATTTTGTGAAGAAAACATCGGCTATCATATGCAAAACAACGCTCTTCTCCTTTTTCTGCATTTTGACCATTCGTGTGTGTCATTTTAAAGACATATTGAAATCAAAACAAACAAAACTTTGTGAAAACTTTGGCTTTTATGAGGTGGCGACACACTTTTGTTTTTTCAGAATTCTGCAGCACAAAGTTGTGAATCAGGTAAAAATGGCTTCATTAGGCTGATTTCAGCAACAGAGTCGACTGGTCCCCAAGAGATTTCAGAGGGAGGTAAAATGGTCAGAATGCGGTTCCACCCTACAGACACAGGTAACTTTTATTGACAAGTGACAAGTTATAGCAATTCCCTCTCTGTGATATTTGCCTTTTTTATCAGAGAGAAATCCTACGGATGACAGAGAGAACTAGACCAGTTCAAGAAGCATCTTTCTTAACAGCACAACTAGTTCTGCTGATAAACTAAACACACACACACACACACACACACACACACACACACAGAGTCCAGAAAATGAATGCTACTTTTATGTTGCCTGAAAAGTGATAAAATGCTACATTCTAAAAAAAAGATCTAAAAAGGCAAAATGGACATATTGTTCTCTGGACACTAAGTATGACATCTGGTGTGTAATAAGAATTCACTCAGTATTTGCAGAATGAATAAATAATTGAATGATCAAATATATGCTGCTCTTAAAATTAGCAAAAGAATAGGTTAACCTTGTCATACATCTGTTTTTGCCAAGTTCACTTTCAGTTTTTGAAGTGACCGAGGCTTCATTTCTAGGTAAATGCACTAGTAATAAAACGTCTCATACTAGTTTTGCTTATCTCTAGTTTCATATTACAAATTAGACATTTCTAGTCTCCACTATTGATTTCCAAGTCAGTTTCAATTGTGACAGAGATGTAGGAAGACACGTGTTAGCTTTCGAAAATGACGCTCACATAGAATAGGGAGCTCTAGATTCAGAACTACATGGATTTCTAGGCACATAAATTTCTAGAAACATAGAATGGAAAAAAACAGAGTAAGCATGGCTTGTGAAAAAGCAGCTTATTCAGAGATGTGCCCTTATCACAAGCTAGTATGATAACACGTTATTTTAAAAAGACATACCCTTTTTGTTTGTAATTCTAAATCTAGGAATCTTATAGAAATTCAGAGATGTAGGAAAAGATTTGCATATGAAAATGTTCATCTCAGCCGTATGTAAGCTGCCAAAACACTAGAAACAATATAAAATGTCCAACAAGAGGGAATTTGCATCTTGTTGTGCATCCAAGCTATAGTTATTAAAATTCAACTTCTTGAAGAATATTTAATGCCATGGATAAAGCGTCATACACAAGAATGATGTTCATTTCATCAGACATGACCAGACACTTCGAGGGAACTAAGATTGACTTTATGGAGCCAAACCTTACAAAGCCTTCCAGAAAACTGGCCTGGCATCTGGTTTACAGACAGCCTTACAGGGGGTGAGAGAGGTCACTTCCTGGCAGGATAGACCTTGGTAACATTGAGAAGAACGGAAATTGCCCACATGTATAGGAAAGCAGGTGAAACCTGGCGGAGAAGGTGCCTTGCCTTAGGGACGGGCAGAAATCTGAAAGACTGACCCATTTACCTGAGTCATCCGCACCAAAGCTTCAGCTTGAACACCAAGGTGACAGGAAGCTCGCTACGTTCCGCACAGCGCTCCCTCTTGGGCCAGCTTTAACAGTTAGGCGATACATTTGAGTCCATCTCCTCAAATCAGTATTCTACGACCCTAGTTCTATTCCTCAGAGCCACAGTAAGAAAAGTCGTTCCCCTGCCACATGAGAGCCCTTTAAAACCTCTTAGGAAGGCTGTCAGGTCTCCCCCGAGCCTTCTCCTCCTAAGCCTGGACAACTGTTCTTCTAATGACATGGGTCCACCTCCCTCCACCATCTTGACTGCTTTCCTGTCACATTCATTCACATTCATTCATTCACCTCTTTCCACAAGTGGCTGTGGCCCATGGGCTCTGATGGCAGCACAACAGTTAGAGTCACGTCAACACAACATTGAGCAGGTGTGACCACCTCCCCTTTGCTAGACACCAAAGAACTGTTGGCTTAGTCCAAGCTCAGATGAATTTGGAGGCTATCATGTTACAGACTTGATTTGGACCCCTGTTGCCCTAAATTCTACAAGCCATCGTCCCCCCACGCCCCCACCCCCACATTATTGCTGTGCAATTCTGTGCAGGACTCTTTATTTAATCCTGTTACATTTCTTTCTTTCTTTGACATTTGACCTTTATTTCAGCCTGCTAAGAGACAACGCTTTTCCTGTCCTTCTAAGCATTGTTCTATTTGCCTGTCTTCTATACGGACACTGGCTTCATTAATAATGATAAATGTTGAACAGAAACTGGCACAGGACAGAGGTCTTTGGGTTGACACTGATCTATTACTTAGCACCCTTCAAGGAAAGCTGTTTATCCAGGTACAAATCCTCCCAAAGACACCACCATCTGGTATGAATGTCTCCTTTTTGATAACGAGACCGTCATCAAGAGATACTGTCGAACGCAGATGCACAGTACCTACAACATTCCCCTTCTCCACTAAGTCAACATGGCAAAGGAAAAGAGTTGATCAGTAATTGTTATCATTTTTCCCGAAGGACTTTCAGACCATCCTATTCACTCATTCAGAAATACGTATTCCATGTCTGCTATATTCCAGGGACAGTGCTAGACACAAGACAATAGGGTCCATGCCCAAAGGGGCTTGCTGCCTTTAAATAATGCATTCTAGACTTTCTCAGACACGACACCAATAACCCCTCTTCCTTCGAAGGTTTAGCGGAGAGTTAAGCGCACAGCAGGTCCTCAGTAAACATTTGTTTTATTGAGTTTCATAATTATAAGTAACATGTAATGAATGCCTACTTATAACATTCATGAAACTAAGTATGTTAGATAGATGATGTCATTGAATTTCTATGACATGCTTTCTCCCCATTTTACAGATGAGGAAACCGAGGAACACAATGGTTAGGTAGTTTGCACAAGCCTGCACATCTCGTGAGTGGCGGACATATCGATATAAACCCAGGCACTATACACAGAGCTTGACCACTGTACTGTAACTGATGACTCAACTACTCTGATGGAATTAATAGAAAAGGGTCTTATTCTATAATCCAAATACCTATAAGCTTCAGGAAAAAATTTTCTAAAAGAGTTTAAGCAAACAACTAGCAAACCTATCAAACAACTCTAGTGGAATATAAATATTTTAGGTAGATTTTCATTTCAAAACAAGATACTCCCATAAAAACAACCAAGTGTAGAATTATGATACTTTATGATAATAATATAATGTTCTCAGCACAAAGCAGTGTTACGAGTTCCTTGTCTACATTACTCTTATTTCAAAGAAAGCATTTTGTTTTTGATGTAGAATGAAGTTATCTGTTCATTGAAGAACCAGAGGGGTGAATGTCTCAGATAAATTCTAAGGACCTTCCAACCTCAAGATTCTATGAATTAACTTCCAGAAGTGGATTTTCAATTCTATCAAGTTCCTTTTTTCTATCTGATTTAAAAGAATTTAAGGGACTTTTTCAATCTGAATATAAAGCATCCATCTTTCATTATGTGACTTTAAAAGACCTGATAAAAAATTTACTTTAATTATTCACAAAAATCATTGAATTTTTTTCTCGGAAACCAGAGCCAGCTAAGACTCTTCTGGGATTCCACAGTGTATATGCTGACACTTTCTATAAGCATATTCATTCTTGATCTGTTTTCTCTCATGACACTAATTTTTATGATGCTTAATAATGATGCAATTGAGTTAATATTCTATAAACAAATGAAACTACCCTGGTTTCTATTCTGTAATTTAAAAGGCCCTAGACTACAGGCAAACCCACAGGTGATCCACTGGAAAGAAAGTAATGTAAAGCTACCCCAATATGTACTTCCAGCTGTTCAAAATATTCTCAATACTAAACTACATAAGCTAGTTGGTGAGGTACAGACGAAATATTTCATAATCTCACCTTTTGGAATGATCGTCTTGTCATTCTTATCCAGGGCCTTGCCTTCCTAAATCAGAGGAAGTGCCTCGGAGCCAATGTGTTCCTCTGTGTATCTAAAATTAAGTACCCAGTTGGTGGTTAAATTAAGTTCTGACCTTGTACAACTGAAACATAAGCAGTTCCTGGCACACAGCAAAGTATTACCCATGACTTCTCTAGACCCTCATCAAAAGCAGCACAAGGCCACAGAGGTATAATAAGATTATCTGTGTCCCGATTGGTTCAAAGGGCTCTCATAAAAACAAACTATCTCCCAGCCCGGCTGCGATGAGGGTTCTTGCTGGAGGAACAAAGCAAAATCACTTACATAGAACTTTTAAAATATTGTAAAATGAGTTGTTCAAGAGACAAATCTGCTAGTCTCAGCGTCTGCAGAGCCAAATCCACTGTTAATCAATTTTCACACAGGCTATTTCTCATTCTTCATCCTTTAGACGCATGTCAAATCTCATTAAATGCAATCTTCTTGTTACAGGAATTTATTGTTTTTCATTTGATTTGCATTTCATAGCTGCCAGTCTGATGCACAGATGGGGATAGGGCATTCAGTGACCTCTAACCTGACCAACATTTTTTAGGTCAGGCTGTAGCACACGTATGGTCTAAAGTGAGCAGCAGAGGTAAAGCAATCAGAAAGTCAGTATTTTAACTGGGAGGGGTGTTTTCTATTAAAAAAATAAAGTTTAGTGTCTTACTGGTTTTCTAATGAAAATAACCTACCTTAAGTTTGTTTTGACACAGTTATCCTTGGATTAACTCAGGCCACAGTCAGCATTCACAAAGCTGTCTGGCTTCTGTCCCCATCACTGCACTGAACAACTCTGCTGAAGGGTCTCACTGAACTCCCATTGTCTAAGGCTCACAGACACGTTTCATTTCTTATTTTTCAGGTCCTCTGTTGGATTTGCTGCCACGGATCCCTCCCTTTTTCCTGGAACTCTCTACTCCCTGGGCTTCGGAGAGTATTACATGCTTTTGCTTTTCTTCTTATCTTTCTGACTCATTCTTTGTCCTTAAGTGTTAATGAATAAACACGCGGATTATAGTGAAGTGATCAGGTTTATTTCAAAATGTGGAAAACTGTAAATGTGAAATCAAAGGTCCTACCTCCTCTCGGTGATCAAAGAGGTTATACTTCTGTCATCGTCAGAGCACCTCAAGAAATATTTTGTATTTATACCACCATTAATCTTGAAATAGTCAAGGTTGAAATTTAGAACACTGTGCATGTTTTATAACTATTAATCTAATGTGGGATTTTTCAATAAGAATTCTTATAAAAAGCAACCTATTTTGTATTTATACTACCATTAACTCTGTCTTGAAACAGTCAATGTTGGAGGTTAGAACACTGTGCACGTTTTATGATTATTAATCTAATCTGGATTTTTTCAATAAAGAATTCTTACAGAAAGCAATTCACATTGTGAAACTCTAAGTTCTATACAATTTTTCTTAACTTGCAATATTAAAAATTCATATGAAGGTTTAGAGTATAATGTAATTTATGAAAAATCTATACTCAACATTTAAAAATGGGGCTTAGCATATTTCATGGATAATTCTGCTCTTACATCAATACATTTATGCCTATTTTATCTATTTACATAATAGTTATTATAGATCTCATATCATACAATATCTAAAGCAAAGATCAAAATAATAGGAAGGACAAAAATGAGAGATGGTGTGGTAAATAAATGAAAAATATGTTATCAATGACACAGACCTATGAACAAGTCTTGCCTTACCACTTACTGTCTCTGTCACTTCAGATTTCCTATTTCAAATTTCTGAGACTCAATTTATTCACCTGTAAAATGGGAGTGATAATAATAATAGCCATAATAAAAATAATATAATGGCCATGACTCCCACCATGTTTATGAGATCTATTTCTCAAGTAGCTAATCATCTATGCACACACAGTAAAGCCTGCTTTGAGTAATTCAAACATTTAAGAGAACGATCTATTCATAGTGCTAATAGTCATTTCCATGCCTGCCTGTTTTTTTAAGTTAGCTTTTCCTGCTGGTTTTCTCAAACGGAAGAAAGTGAATTAGGTTTTTGCACAGTGTCTCTCTAGTTTGTCTGGTGGGGGTGAGTTTCAGGGAGGGGTGTGATCCAAGCAGTGAAGGACTACGAAGCATTAGCGTTGCCCTAAGAAAGGTACCTATGATGATACTGACGTCCAAATGCGTGTCCCTTCTATCTATATATAGCAAGAAGTGCTTGTCCTGTTTCAAGATGATAATTTTAGCAACTGATATGAGGAGTCTTAGGTTGAAATGGTTAGAGCACAGTGTTAGAGGGACTGTCCCTGGAACCACCTATTTTTATTTTGGGGAACAGGGGATTTGGGCAGCATTGGACATGAACTTCCAGGGAGCAACGTGGCTTCCTGGTCTAAAAGTGCTCCTGCGCTTCTCACTCCGTGTTCCTGAAAACTGGTGTGGGCCTTGCAGGCCTTTGTGAATTTCAAACACAGCTCCTGTTATGATGAGTCACGTAATCCCATCCCATCCCCCCATGAGGCCATTTATCATATTTCCTTCTGATGTGGCCCATTCCCTATACAAGCCTCCCTGGAACTGCAGCTTTATCTTTGCTTCTTAGGCAAAGTAGAGCTGCTCACACACCCCGGAGAATCCCACTTTGTTGGGTCCTATTATTTTGTAGTTTATTAAGTAACATCTGTGTAGACCTCACTTGGCTTCATTTTTACTTTGGTATATTTTAGATTTTCTCCTTCTTTCTCCTTTTCTGCACTTGTTCATTATTTCGGCCTTGGGGGCTGTGATTGAAAAAATGCACATTTTATTTCAGTTGTGGATAAGACAGTATAGAAAAATGTGAGAAAATAAATTCTTTATTTTAGTGTGCTTCCCAGTGCTTTAATAGTTGGCTCTTTCCTTTGCTGGACTTCTTACTAATTATTTGTTTTCCAGACTGAGAAACAAGTGAAAATGTGAATCAGATGTATTAGTACCACCCTCCATCAGAAGCACTGACGTCACAGGCCCCTGGGAGAACCTGCATCGTTGATGTCACTCCATCATTTTGCTTCCATTTAGCAGCACAAGTGGTGAGAGGGTAGCGTAGTTTTTAGTAAGGAAATGCTGTAGATTTACACTAAATCAAAGGTGAGCAAAAGGTGGGGAGTATTCTTTCTGGCCCCCAGTTGCACTTACCACTTCATCACCAGTATCTGGTAAAGGGCTTGCCACGTAGAAAGCAGGCATCAAATGCGAGCTAAATGTCTTGCCAAACACTGGTGGCTTGTTCATATGGGTTCGTAGTTATTTCCTGTCTAATTTAACTAAAGGCTGATTCAATTATATCTGAGCTGCAGTGAATTTTAAGAAAGCAGGTTAATCTTTCTTTTCTTTTTTCTTTTCTTTCTTTCTTTTTTAAGAACAAAGCTCTTAATTTTTACTACTGCAAGAGACATTTCAAGTGCATCTAAGAGAATGAACCCTGGATTAAAAGAAGGCAGGGAATCTGTATTTTAGCCTCAGATCTGTTTACATCTTTAGGAATTAAGACAAACCACTTAAATGTTTGGGCCTCAGATCCCCCCTGTGTGGTAACACTTCTCTCATTATGTCACACTGTCATGA